GAGTTTAAATTCGAAAAGGAAAGACAAAATTATGTTGTATGTTGCCCTATTGTTTCTAGGACGTTCGATTTTGTCTGACAATGCAAGCGGCTCAGCGTCCACTGTCGGTGTAAATTCTAATGTGGAACTTTCAATATAGATGGACATAATCTTGATGACAATAGAAACCAAGGACAAGCACGTATCATAACAAAAAGCAAGTAGATACCATTGTTAGCTAGATGAGACAGAAATACACCAATTTCATCCAAGCTTAAATAGGTGCCCTCTTTCGTTTCGTCTGGCATTATGTCCTCAGTGCTTGAATCCAATCTTGCGTCCACGCTGTCCTCTGTTAAACTAAAGCAAAAACAAACACTGTTAAACTCAAATTCATGTCAAATGTCGGTCCTGACCTGACTTCTGCAAGGAGAAGACATATCTTTACAGATGCCGAGTAAACTAGTTATAAGGTTTACTTTTGTTGTACTGGCTGATTCGGTACCTTCAGAGTTTTTACCGGCTCTGAAGGTAGCTTGCGGTCTCCGATCACCATTTCAAGAACCCAGCAACCGTACTTGACAAGACTTCTCTCATTCGGACGATAACGACTTTGGGCTAAACCACTAACCTAAGATATTTTAGTTACAGAGTAACGGGTTACCTTTCATGGATATCATCCGAATCTTGGGAAGACTGAGATAACCCTAGATCTGATTCGGCATCCTGGCTGACAATTCCACGAAACCTAGGATCATCCGAGGCCTTGTCGTAGTTTTCATCGATGAGATCGCTGTTGCCGTTGTTTTGAACACACCAAATAAAAAGATCAATGTCACTGCTTTCTAAGTTTTCGAATAGAGCTGCCACGGCAAGACGGTCTGGCTCGGAGCAATCTAACTTTTCCACATAGTTGAGAAGCTGTTCGTATTTTGCGACAACCTGTTCATCCACAGTACGTTGGTCCTCTCTCTCTTGAATGCACGATGGCATTTGCTCACTTGCATTCCTCGAAGCAGCATCATCGCTGTAGGTATCATCATGTAGGTGTGGCACGAAGATCCCTGCGCCAAGCAGTGCTGTCTGCAGGCTTGACCCATGAAGGCCTGGGAGAACTTTTTCAAGAAGTGCATACACCTGCAAATGGAGAGAATTCATTGTCGCACTGTG